TCTACAACTGGGATAGGCGAAAAGTTAACCCAAAAGGTTAAAAAGCGAAGTGCATACCCGCTCAGGACGAGAAATTACATGCCCCATCAAGTAGCTCTCGTAATTCGAGCTCCGGTACGCCTCATACCGCCAGTACATCAACTCAACTTCCTTCTCCTCGCAAAGGAGCCTAAGGGACATACCCTCATCCAGGGCCTTCCAGAGCCTAGCTCCACAACGAAGCAGTCCGAACTCAGGCTTGTCGGAGGCCTACAGAAGAAAACTCAGTAAGAAGTATAAGGTGATAGCAAGAAAGGAATAGCGCAATGCTCACTATGATATTTTGCTTCCCATCTGTCCCAAGACAAAGCTCGCCACTCGCGCTCCTCGAAGGACGAGTGGGCCGCCAAATCCTCGGGCCAAGCCTGGCAGGTCGAGAACGTCGCTCGACGCCCGTAGAACCAGTACAGAAGAAGGGAGGAAAACACAACAACTAAATCCGCTCTCGCCATAGGCAGAACTGGTAAAGCACGGGGCGCATCACCTGAGAGTATAGCTCCATTCTCCAACAAATAATACGGGCTCCTAAGGTATAATGCCAGCAGTCAGCACCCCGGCAAAGCGACTTGTCCATACCCAATCTCTGTTGTCCTCAACGACAGCAACGAAGGGCGTAATCAATCGACACCGTGAAGTCAGCAGACCCAGATGAACCCGAAGGCCGGGGGCGAAGCTCTCTCCTCCCTATTGGATAAACCCCGACATAGCCGCCATAGCGGTCGCAAAGTTGAAGAACTAAAAGGCAAAGAGATGTACAGGCGTGTTAATGCCAGAATGCCGAAAACATGGTGCAGAAAGAAAATGGCAACTGCTTAAAACGGGGTAACCCCTAAGAAGGCGGAAACAACCTTATTTTATATGTGGGAAAGGCGGCAATGATTCGCCTACCTCAAAGCCGGTCAAGAACGCTAGCCGATAACATCCTCTCCAGTCCCAAGGCAGTACCCGACCTCAAGGACCTCCGTCAAGGTAAGGCTACGCTCCAAGGGGCTACAACGCCGTCGCCAACACAAGGGTGGCACCCGGCTTCGAGAATCTCCATCAAAGGGAATCAGGCTCTGAAGAAATGAGCGTTTTTTGAACGTCACGCGTATGGACCTAGATCCGGGTGCCGTCCAAGGTCGGACAAACCCTCTTTCAGAATCTATCTACAGCACCATAAGGCTATTCACACTAAAACGCGCTTCCGGGTGGTCCGAGTGCGAGCAAGTCTTCGCTCGGAGACTGCTTTCAAGAGATCAAAAGCAGCCCCCGCCCACGGATCCCCGAGCAAATTTCTTCTCAAAGGTTATTACAGAACTCAAATGGTAAGTCACGACTCCGAGGCCCAAAACATTATTCTCATTTTTGCGCGAAGTCAGGGTCCCAGCGGCCCGAGTTTATCGGCCTTATTCAGGTTCAATCCAAGGAATCACAAAAAACCCCGCACGAAGCCGTTTTCATCAACCGAAGGCCGGAAGGAATACTCGCATCCGGGTTCAGTATTAGCAACAACAAACAGGATCATGCATTCGGAGTCTCCGCAAACATAAAGAAATACGGCAAGTATCAAAGACAGGAGTCAAGAAAATATCCTTATATTCATAAATGTTTGCTTAAGCTGGCCCTCGAGGGGTCCTTACATATGATTACAAAAGCAAGGGGATCCTTACACAGGAACAAAGAGGCGGAAGGGTGTGCATACAACAAAAGCCTAAGAATCTAGCCTATTCCCAAAAGTGCGTCCTTAGTAGCGACATCTTCGGTATCATCTCCTCGGGCGCGCGACCTCAAAGACAATATCTTCCAAGCCCAATCCCCTCGGGAGTCTCGTCTCGACCCTCCCGGAATGGCATCTTCAAAAAGGAGGATATAGAAGAGGAAAGCGATGGAGAAGAGCAAAGTGACGAAGGAAAAACCGAAAGGAGACAAGAAGCGGCTGGGTGAAAAATTTGGCTAGTATGAACTCAGCCAGTATTACTATATAAAGCCACTTCTTGAGACGTTGCCTCGGCCTGGGAGGCGATAGCTAGTAGAAAGTGCCGCCATACCCCAAGGAATCCAAAGGGGGTGTAATACGCCAAGCCGAGGAAGGAGGGGGAGCAGCGGTGTATAATCCAAATACTTCTTCGGGTCGGAGGAAATCGGTCCTCTGCTTCATCGCTCCGAGCTAGCGGAGACAACAACAACAATAACATCAAGGCAGCACAACTTCGTCCGACCAGAGAAGGTTCGGGAGACAGGCCGTAGCACGCATGATGTCGCCGTAAAATCTTGAGGCCATGGGCCTCAAACATAGCTAAACAACACGGAAGAAAGATAGCAAGAAAGGAGGAAAGGATAGATATCGGATGATGCTTGGATAAAAAACTGGTCATAAAAAAGCCCCATTTATAGAAGGGAAGGGCAAAATAGCCGACGACGCCATTATCGCCCTCGAAAAACGTAACGACAGGCGCATTCAATGCGTTCATGGGAGCTGAATCAACGGCAACATTATGACCCTGATGAACGAGAAATCACGACACGTCGAATGGCCCTGAAAAAGCGAAACGGTGAAACGTTTCGGCACTGATAAAGGGTTGCGTCATCAACACGACGTCATTATGGGAGCCCACAGAGTGGAATGTCAAAATCGTTTCTTATCGCTTCTCTCTGAGAAACGCGGAGACTATTTGTGTACGGCGAAATCGGGGGGACCAATTTCTCGTTGATAAAGTACTTTAGGAGATCGCCTCGGAGGCTCGAGATCTCGAGCCGGGTACTTCCCTCAAGATCTGCCGACACCCGGCCTGGGGATAATGTTGGCCGAGACCCCGACGAGCATGGGAGGCTTCCGAAGAATGCATCCGGAGCCGGTTAAGTCTACCAGGGCAGTCTAACGTTGGTCTACATCTACATCATAAAGCTAGTTAGCTGTCCCATCCTGCTTCCTTTATCATTTAACGTACCTTGTACCTTGTACTAAGTTTGGATTCCCCTCTCTTATAAAAGGGGAATCATTGGCACTCTGTAAGCAGGTCGCTCCAACTATTCTACATCATCAGATCAATAAACATCTCTCTCTCTTTTCTCTCTAACTTACTCGCTCGAGGCTACCTTCTTCATTTATTGTTTTCATACTTGTTCTTCATTTATTGCTTGATATTGGCCATAAAGAGCCTCCTTTTAATTATATCCTAATTGTTAGTCCCTTCCCGGTTACCCCCGATAGCTCGAGCTCGAGCCCAGGCATCGACCTCGAGGCCCCTCATCGGTCAGTCCGAGGCCCAGACATCTAGCTCCTCGATTTGATTACAACCCCGTTTTAGTTCGTATTTCGTCGTTAAGCTTCACGTATCTAGCATCAACTGCCTTAACAACTAGCATAAAAATAGATCACGTATTTTTAGAGTCCCATTAACAAATTTAATTGTTATTACCATTTTCACGGTAAACAATATGATATCTTGGTAAAACTGGAGGTATTGCTGCAGTTTACTCAGCCATGAGTAAACACCATTGACATACATTGATAAGCTAAAGAAATTCATTTGGGCAAAGGCAAAGGAGGATTGCATGTTTGGTAGATTAGGTCATGATTTTTCTTTTTCCCAAAACTTAGTTTCGTCTTTCTCTTATTTGGTACAATAATACTATCTTGAGATATAAAATATACGACACATTGTTTTTATTACTATCTTGGGATATAAGATGTGCAAAAACATTGTTTTCCACGATTTGCGTTGATATTAGCCCTTTGTGCATGTCCTGATTTTCACCTCTTTTTGCAGCAGAGGTGAAAGTCTCCACACTTGTAGAAATACGCGATGCTTAGAGAAGCACTACTACCAACTTCATCAATGGAAATACATGATTGACCAAATGACCACTGCTGGAATCATAGTACAAGATGTTGGAAAAGCATAAGAGAATCAAAGGACCCCACTGTGATTTCTCCTATATGCCAAAGCCTTGATGGCAGAATTAACCAGTACATGTACTGCGGATCCGGGTACCAGGTGGAATGGTCGAAGTGCAAACTAGCGTGGCGCAGATAACACTACAACAACAACATACCCAGTATGATCCCACAAGTGGAGTCTGGGGAGGGTGGGGTGTACTTCCATCTTACCCCTACACAAGGTAGAGAGACTGTTTCCTATAGACCTTCGGCTCAAAAAAAGCTGGCCCAGATATTAATGTGATATTAATGTTACTGGAAAAAGAATCCATTGGTAGATATGACAGGAGACTGACATACGATCTAATAGTCAATGTGAGATGCTTTTTGCTTCATAAGAATGAAACTTACTGCTATCAAATGAAAATCAGGTTCACAAAAATTACCTTGATCATCAGAAACCATTTGGAAAAAAAAAAGAAGGAAAAAGTCACAGCTCCGAGATATGATCTATTTGTTGAGAATAGATCAGAAAATAATCTTATCTTAGATGGAGTACAAGATTTTATCTGATCTTACCCCGGTTTGTTTTCCCGAACGGTGATTTTATCTAGTTTTATCTTTTAGTTAGAGATCAAATTTTATCTACTAATTTGAGGTACTCTTTTTCTTTAGTTACGAATACAACTTTATTTATTCTAGGAGTTCTGACTATTTACCATTCCTACTCTATATATAACACCCTTACATACTTTCTTGGGAATAGACTTGAAAAATACTGATGAATTGATATTGGTAAAATCTCCCTCACTATTCTCTCTTATTCTTATTCTGTCTCTACTTTTTGTCTCTCTCACTCTTTTCTCTCTATTTATTTTTTCTCTTTTCTCTAATTGTATTCTCTCGTTGTTCCTATTTTCTCCCTTCTCCCATCTAGCCCGCATTACAAACTCCATAACATTATAGTTGTATAATTACCAAATACCAGTGTTTGTATCTATGCAACAAAAAACATGTCAGACATTTGGCATCCAATTCACAAGCATCGAGTTCAAGAAAAAAAAAAAGATGGATTCTGATCTATGTCATCAAACCTCACCTCAATAGTCAGAGAATGATCAGATATATCCACAATTTTTGCCCTGAAAACGTCCACCAACCACATAACCTAGAAATGATCGAAAGATTTGGACCCATCATAAAATAATAGTAAAATGGTAATACGGACAATGTAACTCCAATACTCCAATAAGAACCTCTGTGCGGTATTTTGGATCGGCGCTGATTTTAATAAGCATTAATTCACGTTCAACTTGTGGATCCTTGGATAGATCTTCAACCTGACCATCAACTTTTACAGATTAAATCAAAAGTATCAAACACAAAAAGAAAAGTAAAAAAGGAGCGGAAGGAAGAAAACCATTACTGCGTGACCAGCTAAAGCTTGACATTATAAAGGCTCTTTGAGTAATAATTTAAGCTCTTTTATCAAATTCACTTAAACCCAGCTGATTGAATCATGAATTAGTTAAAAGTACTAAAGACCTTATTTATAACCATAGCTGAGATCATTTGCATGGTTTTGAGTATCAAACATATTTTAGCTTTTGAACATCATTTTCAGAAAAAGGAGCAATGGCATGTCCATTCAATTGACACAAATCTATAGACCAGAAAAAAGGTTATTCGAACATTAATGACATCACTTTAATTTGGACGCCACATGAGAACAATCCAGCAAACTAGTAATTTATCTAATACTCATTACCAAAAAGGTAGGTTTTGCTAAATCAAAAATTGGTAACACACCGTACTATGACCTCAATCAAAACATACAAGGAAGATGTTAATTTGGTTGCAAGCTAACTGTATGGAAACTACAAATCCAAGAGATTAACATGATTCACCAAACAAGCAGCTATAAATGCACATTCAATTCATTACCCACATATTTTTTAATTCTCATGTTACAACTGAAGCACATAATATTTTGTCGTGCATCAAGCAACCCCTAAATGGTTGACACTACTATTTCTAGTGCGTAAAGAGGAACCAAGACCTGAGTGCTTAGTCTAACAGCTTATAGATTAAAATACCATATGCAAACCAAAGTAATCACCTTGATCACATTTACAAGCTTTTGTAACTGTTCCATAACTTGCTGTAACACCCTTTCAGTTCCAGAAACAACTATAGTAAAAAGAGCCTTGTCCTTGTTTAGACCAACAGCAAGAGACTCAATGTTGTACCCTCTTCGAGCAAAGACTCCCGCAATACGATTGATCATTCCACTTTCATCACCAACAAACACTTGAATCGTATGGCGCCTAGTCCTGTAATCACATCTCACATGCATTTACACCAGCATAACTTCTTAATACTTACACTCACTTTCAGCTTTTGAAAGACTTATTTTCCCTCCAGTCCATTTTGTGTGATACCATTTGACTGGAGTCTAAGACATGATTTAGACTTAGGTTTGTATAAGTAATAGTAGAAGAAAATATTAGACAAATAACAAAAAAGAAAAAATATTAACATTGAAATCATTGTATGGAGGTTAAATTTGATTAAATTATTAGTACTTGTGAAAACAGTAGTTTAAATATCTAACATCTTAAAACAATTTTCAAAAAGATTATCATATAAGTTGAAAATAGAAAAATTTAACCACGATTTTCTGTTTGTAGTTTCCAATCGTTATAACAGTTTTTTCTGCTCAGACATTGACAAATGCAAGCAAAAAAAAATTACTTTTGTCTGATGGAAGAGTCGAAAGTTGTGAGAGAGTTGTCTTCATTTGCAAATGTTCCATCAGCTTTGGTGGCAGAAATTACAACTGTTTTGGGGTTTGAAAGGAGAAATTTTGGTTTCAAAGTTGGAAATTGAACAACTTGGGAGAAACCCAAATGGGGAATAGAGGAATAGAGAGAAAGGAAGGGTTTATTTAGAGAGCTGTTGAAGGGAGTTGAAACAGCCGCCATTAACAACAGAGTTTCGTTGATTCTAATTTAGAGAGGTTAGAGGATGAATCGTTTTCGTTGATTCTAATTTGGTGAAAAATGAAAAGATAATTCCAATTTATTTAACTTCCCTTTGTTTAATAGGTGGGGTCACAGTCAACTATACTTTAAAGTTTAGGTTAATATTTAATGTTTTTTTACGGGAATTTCTTTTTTTTTTTTTGATGTTTTTTTTTGTTGGGAAATAGCAATTTTGATCCTCGAGATATTGCTTTATTCAGAATTTAGTCCGTAGGCTATCCAACTGAATACATTTGTCCTTCAATTGATTCATGTGTGTGATTTTGATCCTTGAAACTATTTAAAGTTTTAACAGAATCATAATTTATATTTATATCTATACCTATATATTAGTAGAATATATATTTATTGTAAAAACACGAATGTCAAAACACAAAATGTTGAGTAAACAGAAATATTTCAAGAAATTTTAGCCAATTTTTATGCCCTTTGAGTTCTAAATTATGTCATGCCACCAGGTCGTGATGGCACCTAATTTAATCCTTTAGGTAAACCAACCAACATAAAACACAACCCAAATGGAAGATCATCAACTAAAATGCGAAATTTTAATACAAACTACCCCAAGAACTGGTATCACAAGTCATGAGCAACTAAGAATAGGAATACAATCCTGATATGAAGAAAATACTTCATCTGTTTGAATATACATAAATAGAAATACAAGATTTTAGGCTACTATGAATGAATGACAACTAATAACTGAAATGTTGATATATCTTCAATGCTCACTTTTGAATTCCATAACAACTTAGCTCCAAAATTTGCTCCCAAGGTGCAGAAGTATAGTATGAATATAACCGACGCCGTGTACTCATGAATATCAAGGCTAACCTCAAGAAAGTAGTGGCTATATTTTGGTCAAAAGATACTCACCTTATACAATTTGCACAGTTCATAAGCATATACAATAACATAGAAATAACCAAGAAATGACAGATATCAATAATAAGGTACACAATCAAAGAAAAAGATAATAAACATGTTTTTTCAGATAACAAGATCAAAGAATAAAGAAATGCACCAGCTCTGCATGTAAAGAAGATAAGCAACAAGTAGCATTGATTTAAATACTTCTACAAGAGTCTAGGATGTCTATGCATGATAAAGACTTAACCTTTACATTAACTGATACTTCCAAGTGTCCAACATCTTGCTAATAAGTTTCATGCATGTGTATAATGTATAAATATGCATATGTAGATGATATACATGTATATTTCTACATGAGTGTAGAATGTCCATGCATGATAAAGAATCAAGCTTTACAACAAGCAACACCTCTCTGGTGTCTCATAATACTTTGCATTTACGCCCTAATGTAGCATGGGTAATTACGTGACTCTGAAGAGATGAATTGAAATTTCATGCACCCGAGCATTATAGCTCAAAAATCAATCATCAATATTATAGAAATCAATCATCAAGCCGCACAAAATAAATCATAGTGCCATGACATAACAACTATACAGAATATCCCATCGTGCCAACCTCAATCCATATTAAAGAATATATATATATATGAGAGAAGTATATGGGATGCATATGGATATAGAGATAAAATGCAGAGATGTATGCATATATATGATGTATGACTCTGGCCACAATATGTAATCGAACATACAAGTTGCCCGTCACGTCCAAATACGATATCAAAAGACTAGATATGGTCTTTAGCATGATGTAAAAATACTTATGTAGTCATACAAATAAGTAAAGCATATCACAACTAGAACATGTACCAATCAAGACATAAAGAAGCCTAAAATTTATCCCAAATATGATACAACCTTGGTATTCGCATATACGTTTCTCATCTCGTATATATATTATCCCCAAGCACGTAGCATGTATCATATAAGTCCGTTCTTTGAAAAAATTCCCTCAAGTCGAGATTAAGAAAGATACTTATCTTTATCCCAGGCTAGCTTTGTTCTCTAAAATATGTATTTTCTAGATGCAACTCTATCCAATGAGTCCGATCTAGCCCAAATAATGTCAAGAAAGTCAAATATAGCTATAAAAATCAATTTCAAATGATGAAGCTTCGATCTTTAATAAAATCTTAACAGTCAACAAAAAGTCAACTCCGAACCCTTATAGTCAAAACCAGTAACGAGAGTCAAATCCCGATGACTTATAACATTTCATGATCAAATATGTGATTAGTTTTTAAATTCGAGTCCAAATCAGTATTCAAAATTCCAAAATACACTTTCTTATGTTTTGGACAAAAACTCCAAATGCTCTTATTTAAATCTACATTTTGATGTTGATCTAGTAATAGATTCATGTATAAACTATAGATCCAAGTTTGGATTACACAACCTAATGAAGTAGATGACAATTCTCTCAAAAGTCACTTTAATCCGAGTTCCCTAGCTCCCAAAATAATAAAATAGACTGAATGACGACGATGTTCGGTAACGCTTTTGTAGCTCCAAAGTTATAAGTGTGGTGCACCACATATGGGTGGCCTTCGAACATTCCTTAAATTATGCTAGGAACTGACTCATAGGAAAATGGTGAATTTTGTGGAATGTGTGTTCAAATAGAATTAATGAGCAACCCAAATGATTTACGAATTTTATTAGTCTAGCAAAGCTGAAAAGCGGATCCTTAACTTGCTTATGAGTTTGATGTCTCTCATTAACGATTTGCTCCAGTTTGTTGCTTAGAGATGGTTCCATATTGGGATGTTTTATCTGCAAAGGTGGAAACATAAAGATGTATGTCGGATGCAGGTGTTAAGGCAATGATATAACAAATAAAGCAAAGATAAAGGAAGGAAAGCCTATGAGTGACGACTGGCTGGTTGGCATGCCCTTCACTGAAATTTACAGTCTCTAAGGTACAAAGGTTTTTTGAATTAGTGGGCCTCCAGGCTGCGAAGGGCTTGTGTTAGTGGGCCTCCGGGATGTAAAGAGATGTGAAGTTAGTGATCCTTCGGTCTGTGAAGGGCTTTGAGGTTAGTGGGACTTTAGACTACGAAGAGCTTTGAAGTTAATGGGCCTCCATGCTGCGAAGGGCTTTGAAGCTAATGGGCTTGAGAGTTGCGAAGGGATTTGAAGTTAGTGAACCTCCGGGCGGCTTTGATGTCAGTGGGCCTTTAGGTTGCAGAGGGCTCGATGTTAGTATAAAAGTCCCTATACAGTGTAAAGTAAATAAATCTATGCATCGAGTTTGTAAATAACAACAATAACGACCCAGTATAATCCCACAAGTGGGGCCTGGGGAGGGTAGTGTGTACGCAGACCTTACCTCTACCTCGATGGGGTAGAGAGGCTATTTCCGATAGACCCTCGGCTCTAGAAGATGAAAAGACGAAAAGAGACAATATATCAGTACCATCAACAAAAACCATGGAAATAATAACAACAACACAAGAACCAGTGAATAGATGGAAAGCAGAAATAATAACTAGTAAATAGGGTCTGACACTATGAAAACGGAAGAGTAGTATAAACACAACACTGACCACTAGCAGTCTAAGATTAAATTCTATCTGCCTAGCCTCATACTAGTAGACTAAATATGCTCAACTACCTCCTAACCTACAACCTTAATGCTCGACCTCCACAACTTCCTATTGAGTGCCATGTCCTCGGAGATCTGAAGCCTCGCTATATCGCGCCTGATCACCTATCCCCAATACTTCTTAGGCCGCCCTCTACCTCTCCTCGTACCCACCAACGCCAACTGCTCGCACCTTCTTACCGGGGCATCCAAGCTCCTTCTCTGTACGTGCCTGAACTATCTGAGCCTCACTTCCCGCATCTTGTTATCAATAGGAGCCACGCCCACCTTCTCCCGAATATCTTCATTCCTAATCTTATCCATCCTACTGTGCCCGAACATCCACCTCAACATCCTCATTTCTGCTACTCTCATGTTCTAGGTATGTGAGTTCTTAACTGGCCAACACCCAGCCCCATACAATATGGCCGGCCTAACCACCGCTCTATAAAACTTACCTTTGAGTAGCGGAGGCATTTTTTTGTCACATAGGACTCCATATGTTAACCTCCATTTCATCCACCCCGCCCCTATACGGCGTGTGACATCCTCATCGATCTCCCCATCCCCCTGGATAATCGACCCAAGTTACTTAAAACTGCCTCTATTGGAAATGACCTGTGATCCAAGCCTTACGTCCTTGCCCGCTTCCCTCGGCTTGGCACTGAACTTGCACTTACGATATTTTGTCTTCGTCTTGCTCAACTTGAAACCTTAAACTCAAGGGCCTATCTCCAAACCTCTAACCTCTCACTAACACCACTCCGCGTCTCGTCAATCAGAACAATGTCATCAGGGAATAACATACACCATGGCACCTCTCCTTGAACATGGTGTGTCAGTGTGTCCATCACCAGAGCAAACAAGAATGGGCTGAGTGCAGATCCTTGGTATAACCCCATAACAACCGGAAAATGCTCAAAGTCGCCTCCCACTATCCTAACCTGAGTCTTAGCTCCATCATACATGTCCTTAATCGCCCTAATGTATTCAACCGACACATTTTTAGCCTCCAAGCTTCTCCAAAGAACCTCTCTAGGAGCCTTGTCATACGCTTTCTCCAGATCAATAAACACCATATGCAAATCCTTTTTCCTATCCCTGTACTGTTCCACCAATCTCCTAATAAGGTGGATAGCTTCCAAGTAGAATGACCCGGCATGAACTCGAGCTGGTTGTCTGATATAGACACCGTCCTCCTCACCCTCGCTTATACCCTCTCCCAAATGTTCATGGTATAACTCAATAATTTGATACCCCTATAGTTGTTGAAACTCTGGATGTCACCTTTGTTCTTGTACAACAGAATCACCGTACTCCATCTCCACTTGTCCGGCATCCTCTTCGTCCTAAAAAAATAACATTAAACAACCCAGTCAGCCACTCCAAACCTGCTCTACCCACACACCTCCAAAATTCTATCGGAATCTCGTCAGGCCCGGTAGATCTGCCCCTGCTCATATTACACATAGCCCCCACGACCTCCCCAACCTTGATGCACCTACAATACCCAAAATCGCGGTGGCTCTAGGAATGCCCCAACTCTCCTAGCACAATATCCTGATCCCCTTTCTTCATTCAGAAGTTTATGAAAGTAAGTCTGCCATCTCCGCTTAATCTAGGCCTCTCCCATCAATACTCTACCGTCCTCGTCTTTGATGCACCTCACTTGGTTCAGATCCCGAGCCTTCCTCTCTCTCGCCTTTGCCACCCAGAATAATTTCTTCTCCTCGCCTTTGGCCCCTAGTTCCTCGTACAAATGACTAAAAGCTGCAGTCTTAGCCTCCGTGACCGCCAGTTTTGCCTCCTTCCTAGCTACTTTATACCTCTCCATGTTCGCACTCCTCTCTACCTCACATGTGCTCCCTACTAACTCCAGGTACGCCGCCTTCTTTGCTTCCACTTTACCTTGGACCACTTCATTCCACCACCAGCTGTGAGCACGTGATTTTTGCCCTATATATGAATTATTCCCAAAAATTCAAACAAAATGATTTTTCTCTATTTTTGCAATTTTTGTGAATTTTGGTGTTATTTTTCTGATAATTGTTTGCATTAATTCATATGGAAAATACAAAAAATACGTATTTGCATTTAGGATCCAATTTCATATTTTAGGTTAAGTTGTTTTAGAACAAATATGAAAAAATAACAAAAATGGTTCACTTTTGCATTTTTATTGTTTTAATTGTGAATTCATCACGAAATAACTTTTAAACAATTTTAGGCATTAATTTGTTTAATTTTGAAATATATTAGGACTTCATTTTAATTTTTATTTTAATTTTGCATCTTTATAAAAAAAAAATCAAATCAGAAAAATAATACAAAGTTACAAAGGAGAGGAGGGTCTTCTTAATAAAAGACACCATTTGGGCTTTTTAATTCAAAATCCCCTGACCCAATTCAGCCCCTATCCGCTTAACCCACACCCCAACTAGCCCCAACCTGACCCGTTCCCAATTGACAAACATGAAACGAACGGGCACCCTAAATCCTAATCTCCCAAGACACAGCCTCTGTTCTTCTTCTCCAAACCTTCCGAATCCAACGATAATCATGTCCAAATCCATGGCAAGTGAGCCTCATATCCACAACCCACACGTCCCTCTATCTATCCTCTTGTTGTTGCTAACGGATTTTCTGATGCCAAGATTCGCTTTTGTTCACTCGCTAGATTTTGAGAGAAGGCACGCGATTGGAAGGTCCTAGAGGCGATTCGTTGGATGAATGTGAGGCATTGGATTGATTTCGTTCAATCCGAGCCCCACATTCATCAGGGGTTCATTTCATAAAAGGACATAATCCGATTTTTTTTGGGAGAGGGATTTTGGGGGGAAGGAAAAAGTTCAGAGGTTCAATTTCTAATTTCTATTTTGATTTTCTGATTCTTGGCGTTTGTTTGATACAAAACCCTCGTTGTTTTGGATTTTATTTTAGTTTCAATCCCAGAAAATACAGAAAATATCCCAGATTTCTATTTTTCTTTGTTAGAGTAAAAACAATTAAAAAAAATAAAAAAGAGCTTCGATTTCTTTGCATATCATCTCTGGTTTAATCGTGCTTGTGATGGAGTTGGTTTACAAATGGAGCTCGTTTGAGAATTGTTGAGTTCGTCGCTGTCTAGACTTCTGATTTCTGCTCGTCTTTGCTACTGATTTGGATGTGTTTCGAGCCTTCTGTTATTTTACTGCTGAAAGTTTGGAGTCGAAACTGTGTAATTGCCTTCGATTCTGTTATCAAAAGAAGTTCGAAATTTCAGGTTCAATCTTCATCTCTCTGTTCTCGCGATTCTATTTCATTTTAGTGCTTTGGACTATATGTTTCTGTCTCGAGTGCTCTGTTTGTGCTAGGATCGAACCTCGTGTTGAATGAATTCATTCTCAGTAGTATGATGTATTTGAGTATTTTCAGTTAGTAGAAATCGATTTGAATAGTCGTCTTTCATTACCTACATGTCTTGACGGTTATTCAAGCTTGAAGAATATTCTGAATCAAGTGTCGTCGACTTTAAATGAACAATGTGCTCATGTTTATTCTGGTTCTGTTTAGTTTAGTTTACATATGAATTGAACTCTGAAATTGTCTGCCATGCAGTACTGGTATGAATCTGATCGTTTAACGAATGCGTTTGATTAAAGTCAGATTCGATTCTTGTTCGTTTGAGTTGATGAAACACTTCGATTGCTGTTAGAATCAGTTTGATTAACTATTTGATAAAGAAATTTGTTATTGTTCAAATGATCCATAGTTTAGTAATGTGTTCTCTTGAGCTTGTTGTAAATGTTTGGATCCAGTTTGTTCGTATAAGCTCGAAACGAGTTCCATAAGCCCTGTTTGATATGTCTACTTCCCTTCATCCTGTCATTCTGCCAGAATAGGACTATATTCTCTAGTTTCTTCTTTTCAGTTTTAGGTTTTGTTGATATATGCTACTGATTTAGCTAAAGATCAGCTTGAATTCGTGGTAGTTTCGCGTTAAGGGATTTTTTTAATGGTTCAGGTCTATTTGTTTCAATTGTTTGGACTTAAAATTTAAGTTTGAGGTTCAGTTGTGTGAGTTGTGCTCATGTTTGAAGTTCAACTTCAATGATCATACTAGCTAGGTGAAATTAAGGGAAGAGGCGCGACTGATTTCAGTTGTTTTGTCTTAGAGTCAGTTTTGTTGGTCTTCATTTAGTGTATTTCTCCATTGATTTTCAAGAAGAGTAGCAGAATAGTGTTTATTGTTTAAAGCTTTTGATTTGTTTCGTTGATTGAAGAAGAAGGTCCATTGGTTGGTAATTCTTTAGAAATAAGGTCCTGTTAACCCTTTGTTATTCCATAGATGTACAGATTCATTATTTCCCTTTTATGCAATTTGTCTTAAGTGAAAATGATTCAAATATAACCTATATGCAATTTTGGTACAATGAATTGGTGATCAGACATTTAAGTGTTGATAGAGGAGTCATTTCCTATAATTATTTTTTGGTCCTGGACCGCAATTTGAGTCATAGTTTTATCAAGATGGGGCCTGTCGCTAATTGGGTTTCTCACATAACCGAATGCTGATTTCATTTTATTTCTGTTAGTTATTAAGGTTAGCTCAACTGTTCGTTTAGATTGGACTCAAATCACGCTAGGCCTTTATCTAATTAATTGGACCTTTGAGTAGACTTGAGACGAGCCTCGCCCAATAAACACAATTGCGGGGCCCTCAACGAATGGTTATTAAAATAGTTAAAATTTGGGAGGGTTGTTTAGTGAATTTCACGGCCTTCCCCAAAATAATAATACGTTAGAATCTTTAGGCACAATTTAATTAAATTACTTTCTTAAATTCGGGTGCGCATTGATGCGGCCCAAATCCAAATCTCGGCGAAGTCGAAATGTGTCGACAACCACAGGTGCATTGATTGCGACGTGGTTCGAAACGCGTTTTCACGACGTCGCAATTATTTTAGAATAAACAATGATAAAAAGCGGTTTACGAATAAAAGGCACATAAGCTAGCATGTATTAAAGTCAGATAAAATCAAATGCAACAGTTAAGCGACCGTGCTAGAACCACGGAACCCGGGAATGCCTAACACCTTCTCCCAGGTTAACAGAATTCCTTACTCGGATTTCTGGTTCGCAGACTATAACAGAGTAATAAATTTCCTCGGTTCGGGATTCAACCGGTGACTTGGGACACCATTAATATCCCAAGTGGCGACTCTGAATAATTAATAATTAAATCCCGTTCCGATTGTCCTTTAATTGGAAAAACTCCTTTACGCGCCCTTGCAGGGTGTAGTAAAAAAGAAGTATGACACCAGTCGCCTTTGTACTCGCCAGCGTAACCCTTTGAGACTCCCAACACCTCTCTCGCTGCCTCCCATATATAATCCACCATCGTTGACCACATATCACGTCCCCACTACTCTTCTAGGCTCCCACAGCCGATAACCTCCCTTCCAACTCCTAAGCTTTATCCTTAGTCAAGGGTTCCCACCTGATCCTCGGTCGACCTTGTGTAGTCCTCTTCTTCCTCTTCATCAAAATACCGACGTCCAATACCAAGAGCCTATGCTGCATCGCAAGGGTCTCACCCAGGATAACCTTGCAATCCTTACACAACCCTCTGTCGCACCTCCTAAGGAGAATATAGTCAATCTTAGTCTTCACCACCGTACTCTGGAAAGTAACCAAATGCTCTTCCCTCTTTGGAAAACTAGAGTTAGCAATCACTAGCTCAAATGCCTTTGCGAAATCCAACAGCAAAGTACCTCCTGCGTTTCTATCCCCAAAATCGAAGCCCCATGCACCTCGCCATAGTCGCCTGCAGTCGACCCAATATGACCATTGAAATCCCCTCCTATAGATAACCTCTCAGCAGGCGGAATACTACGCACAATCTCATCCAATCCCTCCTAGAAGCGCCTCTTGACCTCCTCATCCAAGCCCGCTTACGCTGCATACACACTAATGACATTTAGGGTGCACTCTCCAACCACCAACTTAATAGACATTAACCTATCATTCACCCGCCTAACCTCTACCACAGACTCTCTAAGTTCCCTATCCACCAAGATGCGTACACTATTCTTACCCTTTAGGACTTCAGAGTACCACAACTTATACTCGTCCGCATTCCTCGCCCTCGATCCTACCCACCGAGTCTCTTGGACACACGCTATATTGACCTTCTTCTTCTGAAGGATCTTCGCCATCTCAATAGACTTACCCGTCAATATACCTATGTTCCATGACCCAATTCTCAACCTATAGTCACCATTGTGCCCCTTACCTCCCTTGCCTTCCGTCTCACCCCCTAACCCCTGCCCCACCCATCGCCTTGTCCCCTGGCCTCCCCAAGGACATGACCTTACTCTACTATCCTAGACTACAGCCATTATACCTACAACAGACTAAGGAGAATCACTCACACACACTAGGCAAACAAACTAGACTAGGAGAAAACAAGTTAAAGCTAATGAATGCTTAACACTAATGCGAACTAATGAGGTAGCGGTTTAACTACCACAAGGGGAATGAGAATAGGAAAGCGGGAGGTACCAACTCCCGGAAATATAACCTGGAATTTGTCTTGGTGTACACGACGGTGTTGTGGCACTTGGCTCGTTCACGTTCCCATAGGCTGTTTAATACAGAATTGAAGTCATTAAGGTCACATAGACACTCAATCAATACCAATTAGAGATACTTAGAAGCATAAGATATGCCCATAAATTAACAACATATTATGCATTGGAAATAACATCTATACACTAATGACAAACATTATAAATGAAAACAACTAATAAAAGGTAGTAGGCATGTTCATGATATTTGAGTAAAACAGTCAAAAGAGAAAGGGTGGAGGTGTACTACCTCCTTTTGAGCAGCAAACCAAACAAAGTCTCTTTCTTATCCATATAGAATCAAGTACTCAAACTCCGACCAGTGTAAGGCTCAGAATCAGAAAGAAATTAGAAGCTAGTTAGAAAACCCTAGCTTGATTTTTTACTAACCAAGACTAAAATTGATATTTTCTTTGTTAGTTAAGTGATTTCATAATGTATCTCTATTGTTAGGTGAGAGCATTGAAGGCTCCTTTTTATAGTGGAATGCAATTCCTCTAGGGCTCAACAAATTTCAAAATCGATAATGAAAGAAGACGATGAGTTGATGATGTGGGCAAACTGAGTGACATCATAAAAGAATAGAGGGGAGGATTTTTACCTGAGAAGAGAGAAGGTTGACCGTTGAAGTCTTCAAATTAGTGGTAAGACTCAATGTCCAAAGGTAACTGCGTTTGACCTCTGGAAAAAGAATAACGATGATGAAGCTGCAGATATCAACCATACATGCTCTGATTTAAAAGAACAAAGGAAGAAATCAGATGAATTGAAGTTTCATCCTTTAGGTATAGACTTTCAGATCGAGAATTTTGAATTTAAAGATAGAAATGGAAAGTAAATCTCAGGTTTCATATCCTAGGAACAAAGCGAATAATTTTTGAGTTTGGATTTGAAAGATCGAAGACGAGACAATGTCTCGATGCTTAGGTTGGGGTTTGGTGATTCAGATTTGAAGAACTAAAAGGGAAAGGTCAGCGGGATTCTCAGATAGAAGTAGGAAAGGATGATTTGGTGAGAGATTTCATGACCTTGCACAAATTTTGTGCAAGGTCTAATGATTGACATTCATGAGAGATTGAGAGGTGGCTGAAAGGGATGTAAATGAATTAGGGTTAGGAGATTTTGGGGAGTGCCATATCTGAATTAAGAGTGAAAGAGTTGATCTGGGCCGTTTATCTTTTAGACTAACGGTCCATATATTTAGGGATTGAGCTGATTTTTGTGGAAAATTCGGTGGCCGTTGGATATTTGTTATCCAATAGTCAAGATTAAAAATTCTGGGCATTTTAAATTAAGGGGAAAATAGAGTAAAAAATCATGGGCCGTTGATCTAAGAAATAGACTACCCAGATTTGTTGTGTTAGTTTTGTGAGGGAGAGAGATGGGTGATGTGGCACGATCTCTTGGTTCAATGGGAATGGAATGGCTTGCCAATGCGGAGAGGGAGGAAATTGGACCTGGGTCATTTTCAGATTGGGCTTGTATATTGAGCTGGTTTAATTTAAGAAATGGTCATTGTGTAATTAATTAAGGAATTGCAATTGTAGCCTTTTAGTTTTAACCCTTTTAAAATTGACTTAAATAAACTTAATTATTTTCAACAAAATATAGTAAAATTGTAAATATCAAATATACTATTAACTAAGTAATTTTTTTTAGCAAATATACCACTAGGCTAGCTTCCTAGTGGTTAATATATAAATATAATCCCAAAATGGGTCCAAACTTTACAAGATGTCTAAGCAAATGTAAAAAAAGTAAACTACTAATAGCTAATACTATGAATAAACAATCTATTACTAATGAACTAGCTATTACAAAATAGCAGGATGTATGCTTCCATCTCCAAGTAGTGTAAGTAAATCCAATAGCCAGGGGCAAAAACTAAGTAGCACCTCTAATGCTCTCACCAGGCGCCAGAGTATGCATTCCATTGAACAATCCAATGGACAAGGCTAATGTTGATTCTAGATAAATACACCACTGTATAGAAGCAATCCCAAACTTCCAAATACGTATGATGATCCAGCTTGATCTCTTCCATCTTGATCTCCATTTCACAGCAAATAAGTCATGTTTAAACTCAGTCATGACACTTGTTGGGTAGTCTCTTAAACATGTGCATACAAAAGTATAACACACCAACTGCTAGCTTAACATCATAGAGGTATATACTGCCTTCTCATCTCCAGAATGAGCATAAAACCACATTAATACCACTGGAAAATTATAGAACAATATACCTCCTATGAAGTCTATAACTGTATGCAATAGTAGTCCTTGTGTCTTAGCATAAATGTCACTGTCTAGTCTATATCCGCATAGTATATAAGCACACATAGAATGTGTAGTAATGAATGTCCTTCGTGCATTAGCATCATTGTATAATAGATAGTACGAAGCCCTAATAGGAAAGTAGATATCATCTTGTAAGTTTGCATTTGATCTAGTGACTTGCATGTTGTCCTAACGGTTCTACACAGTGTAAAACTACCTCTAGACTGAGCATGTTTCCATGCTAATACCGCTAGAATGTAGCTGCACACTATACATATAAGAGAAGAAGAAAGTGAAATAACAAGAATAGGTAGTGAACTTAGGGACTCCTTCATCAATCTGGTGCTTTTCTTTTGGCAATCCTAATCTTAAGGTTAGGAATTTGAGCTTTTTCTATGTTCACCAATGTCTTTCCTTCAATAGGTAGATCCTAAAAAGAGTGATATGTGACTATACCTGCAAAAGAAAACCAGGTTAGCTAAAAAATGTGCAACTGCATTGCCCTCCCTTAGCACATGCTAAAAGAGTACATTGTAGTTGCTCTTGATCTCCTTTATCTTCCTTACTTCCGGCCTTATACACCAAGGAGATTCTTATTCCCCACTAATGATATTCCTCATCACCAAAGAATCAGTCTCTATAATAAGAGGATGCAACCTCTTTTCCACACAATATACCAGCCCTTCTAATATTGCCTTAGCTTCTGCCACTATATTTGTTGTTTCCCCTATCACCTCAGCCTTGGCATGTACCACATTACCAGCATAATCTCTCACACAAAATCCATAGGAACTAGGTCTAGGATTGCCTCTAGATGCAACATCATTGTTGCATTTGAACCACCCTTCATAAGAGAGCTGCCATGTTACTCTCTTGGTTACAATATATAGCTTGTAACCATCAAAGAATCTGATCATATCTGGCCATAAGAGAAGAATGTTTGGGAGCCATGGATACCTTACTCTTGCTAGATAATGTAATGTCTTGTTCACCTCATGAAATACCCTATTGCAAGACATTGAACCTCCATACTTCATAGTGTTTCTCCTCTTCCAAATTTCCCATGTAATGACTATTGGAGTTGCCTGAAAAAATGGCTTAAGTTTGGGGCAGCATGGTGCATTCCACCATGCCCTTATTACTTGATGAACCTGCACTTTAGTTGTACGAGAAAAATTTGGTAAAGGAGAAATGGTGATAATCTTGGGAAAGTGGTAGATCCGTCATTTGCCCCAATGTGGTCCCAACATTTCCTTGCTTCCTATTGACCCTGCATTCAAAGAAAAATTCTTAGTGGGGGCGAGGGGTTGGTTTGTGTTGACCACAATGTTGGTTTTGCCCCGGACCTTGATATGGCTGTGCCACGAAGTTCAGTAGGTGGAACAAATTACTATATTTTAGAAAACATTTTGAAAATTTTGTGTTAAGACAAAGGTCGTCGTTCCGGATTATGACTGTTTATAAGTGTGGCATGCAACACACCTATAAATAAGACTTTACTAGATACGACTTATACATATCCCAAGGACAAACCTGCTTTGATACCAACTTTGTCACGATCCAAATCGGAGGGCTATGACGGGCACCCGGGCCTTACTTTCTGAGAACCAACATGTACCTCAATAACCACACCATCACGCAAAAATGGGCCGGAAGGGACATCATGAAACAATCTGAATAAAACATAAGGGAACACTCAACATAGAACAACCCAAAGTGATATACAAACTTATACATGTGACATACAGTTCTATAAGGCCGACATGGCCATTTGTACACTCAAAACATAAGCCGACAACGCCAAACAAGCATCCATATACATGACATCTATCTATAAGCCTCTAAGAGTACATAAACGTTGTCACACCCCAAGCTCAGGGAGCATGACCTGTACTCAACCGAGTAAACCCGGCTAAGCAAGCATGTTAGACACTTTCTACCCAACTCACTTACGATCAAGAGAAGGCATGTTTTCATTAATTAAATAATAGGAAGATCATATATACATTACTAAGTCATTTAGTTAGTAACATTATTGTTAAGTTTCAAAATATACACATCCATATGATTGAGTGGAACAAGAGTCCAAAACACAACATAGCACGTTTGGCATTTCTAACAACCATATACAACCCACATAGTGTCTACGGAGCCTTTAAAGATACAAAAGAGAGTTATAATAATGCCGGAAACAAGGCCCTACCTATACCCCAAAATGTGGTAAAAGTATGAATAAAAGATACAGTACATGACCCCGGGATGAAATGGGGCTCACCAAGTCTGCTGGGAAGAGGATGCACCAGTAGCTGCGA